AAGTGCACCATGAAGCAGCAAGTGCTAACAAAGAAGGTACACCAAGTTACCTGGAAGATCAGTGAAGATAATTGATGATAGCTACACTTAACAACAGCTTTTCTTTTTCTTTTTAAAACTGATTTTTAAAAGAAATATTTATTTAATTTTATGTATTATTATTATTTAATTTGCTATAGGACACACACACTCACCATAGAAATAAAGAGAATAAAAATGAGGTAACAAACTACCGGGTCCAGGACTCAAACCATAGTTGGCTATGTGGGAGTCAAGCACCTTAGTCACCACTTGCTGGCCCAAACAATAGATTTTCAATGCAGATGAAACAGCCTTCCCTGGACTGTCATAGCTAGAGAGGAGACATCAATGTCTGGCTTCAAAGTTTCACAGGGCAGACCGATTCTCTCATAAGGGCTAATGTAGCTGGTAACTTGAAATGAAGCCAGTGTTCATTTACTGTACTGAAAATCCTAATGCCCCTGGATGTATGCTAAATATATTTGTACTTTGCCTGTGCTTTGTACATTGGACAGGAAAAACTTGATGACAGCACATCTATTTACAACATGGTTTTACTAAAAATATATTTTTTAAGCTTACTGTCGAGAACTACTGATGAGGAAAAAGATTCCTATCAAAATATGACTTATTATTGGCAATGCACCTGGTCCCTCAAGAGCTCTGATGGAGGTGTGCAAGGAGCGTAGTATGTTCATGCTGGCTAATACAAAATCCCTTTAACAGCCCATGGAGCAGGGGTTATTTGGATTTTAAGTTATATGATTTAAGAAATGCATTTAATAAGAATAGAGCTGCCATAGATAGGGTTCCTTTTTTTATTTTTTTATTTTTAGAGTGATTTTTGCTGTAGGGAGCGTGCATTTACCAGAGAGACAGAGAGAGATAGAGAGACAGAAAATGAAAAATCATCCCCTGGGGGGATGGCCACTCCACAAGCCCTTCTCCTCCATTCTCTTCTCAGGATCTAGGACACACATGTGTCCAGCATGAGTTTTAAGCCACCAAGTTCATGACTCGAACCCCAGTTGAGTACATGGGAGTTCAGTGATATAATTATTACACCATCTGCTGATCCCAATAGTGGTTCCTCATATGATTCTGGGTAAAGTAAATTGACAACTTTCTGGAAAGGATTCACCATTCTAGATTTTATTAAGAACCTTTGTGATTCATGAAACAAAGCAAAAAATTGACAATAATAGCACTTTAGAGGAAGTTGATTCCAGTCCTCATGGATGACTTTGAAGAGTCCAGGTTTTCAGTAGAGGAAGTCACTAAATATGTGGTAGAAACAGCAACAAAACTAGAATTAAAAGTGGAGCCCAAATATGGAACTGAATTGCTGCGATCTCATAATAAGACTTGCCAACACCCATAGATGAGCTGATAAGGTCACAGTGGCAAGTAAGCTAATCAAAGCAACCGCCATTCTTGTGACACTACCCTTTCACCCCTCCCACGTGAATACATCACTTCCTCTTGGTGGGATGGGCTAAAGCACCTCAGCCTCAGACCCTAGGGCACTCTTTCTCTTAATTTCCTTTTTTTCTCTTGGGTGAAGAAAAAAGACCTGGGAGTGTAGCGTTGCTTCTTTCAGATGAGCAAAGAAAGTGTCTTCTTGAGATGGAAACTACTCCTGGGGAAGATGCTGTGACTATTGTTGAAATGACAACAAAGGATTTAGAATGTATCATAAACTTAGTGACAAAGCAGCAGCAGCATTTGAGAGGACAGCTCCAATTCTAAAAGAAATTTTATAGTGGGCAAAATGCTTCAAACACCATTGCATGCTACAGAGAAATCTTTTGGAAAAGAAAGAGTCAATTGACATGGAAACCTTCATTGTTGCCTTATTTTAATTCATTGCTACTGCTACCCCAGCCTTCAACAACCACCACCCTGATCAGTCAGCAGCCATCAACCTCAAGGCAAGATCCTTCAGCAGTCAAAAGATTATGACATGCTGAAGGTTCAGATGATCGTTAGCATATCTTAGCAATAAAGTAACTTTAAGGTTTATGGGTATGTATGTTGGTTGTTTTTAGACTCAATGGTATTGCACAGTTAGTAGACTAAAGCATAGTGTAAATATAGTATTTATATGCACTGAAAAACCATGAAGTTTGTGTGAGTCTTTATTGAAGTGATCTTGTGTGAGTCTGTATTGAAGTGATCTGGAACAGAACCTACACTATCTCTGAGGTACGCTTTATAAGGATACCTGCTTCTAATCAGTGCTTTGTACTGACCGACTTAAAACTACTTACAAGTCATTAAGTATGCAATGGTGACTTTTAACTATTTTAATTTTCCCATGACTAATTTCAAGTCCACTGGGGATACTTACACCTGTTTGTTGACTGTTTATGTCATCTGTGAATTGCCTTTTTAGATCCACTACGCAGTTTTGTATTGACTTGTCTCTTTCTTTCTGAACATAGAAATTTAGTTTTTCTTGGTAACAATCTTTTTGACTGGTGTAGATGTTGAAAATATCTTCTTTCAGTCTATGGCTAGGCTTTAAAATTATTTTCAAGAAACATTTAAAAATGGACTTAGGGACCAGCAGTTGGCGTAATGGTTACATCGCTGGACTATCACATATTTGACTGCAATTTGAGTCTCGGATTCAGCAGCTTAAAACATGCCTGGTGCATGTGCATCTATGCCCGAAATCCTAAGAGGAGAATGGAGAAGGAATTGCGGCGTGGCTGTCTCCCCTGGGGGCTGATTTCTCGCTTTCTGTCTCTCTGACAAGCACACGGGCCCTATAGAAAAAAAATCTCTCTTAAAAAAAATAAAAATGCAATTAATATGTGTTTATTTTGTACAAAAAATTGAAATTCATCCATAGTTATCATATGCATTTTCTATGAATTTTTGAAGACCTTGCATACACATGGTACCTTTGAATGTGCAGAAATTTAGAAGTTTTAAGTAATTTATATTAATCTATGTTCAGATTGGTACTTTTTATGTCTTCATGAAAATTATCCCAACTTCCATCTGTTCTTTTCTTCTAGGTTTTTGCCATAGGGCACTTGCTGAAGAGAGGCAGAGAAATGTAAAGAGAGGGAAAATGAGAAATCACCCCACAGGGGGATGGCCATGCCACAATTTCTTCTCCTCCCTTCCCCTCTCAGGATTTTGGCATACATACACACACACCCGGTATGGTTTTCAAACTGCTGGGTCCAGGACTTAAACCATAGTCAGCCATGTAGGAATCTAGTATCTTAACTGCCATGCCACATGCTGGTCCCATAACCTCCAGTATTTTAATTCAATGTTTTAAATTTTATTTTTCACATTTTGAACTTTAATCCATTTGAATTTTTATTTTGCATTAAGTAGTACTCTAATTTTATATATTTTTCTCATGTGAAAAGCCATTTGCCGAACACCATTTTTTTTTAAGAGATTTTTTTTGCTATAGGGCATGTGTGCTCACTGGAGAGAGAGACAGAGAAAGTGAGAAATCACCCCCCGGGGGGGATGGCTATGCTGCAATCCCTTCTCCTCCATTTTCCTCTTGGGGTTTTTGGCATACACTCATATGTGCCCAGAGTGACCTTTAAGCCACCAGGTCCAGGATTCAAACCATGGTCGATTACATGGGAGTCTAGCAACGTAACCATTATGCCATCTACTGGTCCCAACTCAGCACTATTTTTGAATAATCATATATATATATATTTTTTACTTTTTGTAGTATCACCTCTAATATCACAAATTTCATGTTGTGTTCTTATATATGTTTAGGTCTTTTTTGTGGTCTCTATCCTTACCTATTTGTCCATTTGTGTGTCTCTGGGCTATTAGCTCACTTTATTTGACTTAGTTTTATTAGGAATTTTTTGACTCTCCTCAAAACTATCTTAACACAATTTAATGTGACAATGTTTTAATATGTAGGTCTGGTTCACCCAATTACGTTATTATTTGATGGGAGGAATATAGTCGGTATTTATTTGAGAACTGTATGCATACCTTCTTTTGCCTTTAGCACACAAAGTATTTTTTATTTATTTATTTTTAGGTTTTTGCCATAGGGTGCATGCTTTCGCCAAAGAGGAGAGAGAGACAGAGAGATAGAGAGGCATATAGAGAGAAAGTATGAGGGAAAGCGAGAAATTACTCGCCGGTGGGGGGGATGACTATGCTGCAATCCTTTCTCCATTCTTCTGGGATTTGGGACATGCACATACATGCACCTGACATGATTTTCAAGCTGCCAGGTCCAGGATTCAAACCATGGTCTGCCACATGGGAACCCAATATCTTTTTTCTTTTCTTTTTTTTTTTTTTTTTTTGGTGATGTTTTTGTTGTAGAGCGTGTTCCGACAGAGAGACACAGAGAGAAAGAAAGCAAGAAATCACCCCCCAGGGGGGATAGTCATGCTGCAATCCCTTCTCCTCCATTCTCTTCTCGAGATATTGGGCACACACGCACACGTGCCCGGCATGAGTTTAAACCACCAGGTCTGGGACTCGAACTGTGGCCCAGCGACATAGCCATTACGCCAACTGCTGGTCCCAGGAGCCCAGTATCTTAACCACCACACCACCTGATGACCCTCACACACTAAATATTTTATTAAACTATTTTATGAAGCATTGTACAAAAAGTAATGAAATGTTCAAAATAAATTCCAAGATTATCAAAATATACATTTTCTTTGGGTAGCTATAATTCAGTAAAGCAGAGAGATATACCATTATTTGGGGATTTGAGACCAAAAAGTTTGATTTAAATATAAAAGAAAGCTGATGTTCTGTTTGCCAGGACATCAAACAGAATACACATGACAGCTATGAAAATTCCTGACTCTTGAGGTGCACGGATATGTACTACAGATGGGAGAATGGTTTTTATAAGCTGCTTGCAAAGTAGTTATTTCACACTGAAATGCAGCTGCATAGGGAAATTTAAATTCTCATGTTCCATGATCAACTGTGTGGTTTCTTTCTTTCAGACACATGTTCCTCCCTTCTGGTTCAATGAAGATCACTGAGACCCGAATTTCAGATAGTGGGATGTATCTTTGTGTTGCCACAAATATTGCTGGGAATGTGACTCAGTTGGTTAAATTAAGTGTCCATGGTGAGTTTTGAAATGAAAACATATGATAACTTTATGGACTGGCCACAGGAAAACCCACCATCACAATTTCTTTGGTAGTCAGCCCCTGATTTGTTTGTAAAGCAATGGTAGAAAACTTTTCCAAAATCTGAGACTTGTGACTTTCCTTTGTTTACTCTGAAAAATGTCTTTACTAGCTATAAATAACTTCCCCCTTTTCTGCAAGTGAACTGTATTAAATTTTTGGATCTCAATTTCCTTATAACTATGCTTTTAATGTGAAGTAGAAAAACACTGGTTTGTTGTAAAAGTAAATATTATATTCTTGAGGAAAAGTTTAATAGTACTTACTTGTTATTTTCAATACTTAAAGAGCTCAGCACCTGAAAAATTCTGCTTCGCAGGAATCTTTGACTACTGTTAAACTCTTCAGTTAGCCTGTTTTATTCCTCCAACTTACCATAGTTTCTTCCAGATATTGATTCATTCAAAACATACTTACTGAGTACATAATCTAAGTCAGATGACACATATTCAAATGTCAGAGATTGTTCTAGGCAGTATGAACATGGCTTCACTCTCAAATCTGTCACTGTAATGGTGCCCACTTGACTATATCAGTTTGAATCTGATGACAATTCTGTCATTTACTAGCACTAAGACTTTTTTCAAAAATAATTTATGTTTATTATTATTGTTGTTAATATTTTAAAGTTTGCTATAGGATATGTGTGCTTATTAGAGACAGATAGAAAGAAAGAGAGGAAATGAGAAATTAAGCCACCAGGTCCTGGAACTACAGTCAGCCATGTGGGAGTCCAACACTCTAACCATCACGCCAATCACTGGCCCCTCACTTTAAGATACTACCTAACCTCAGTTATCTTAGATTTTCCCTTTCACAAAATGATATAATGATTTTATCAAACTTATAAGGTTATCATGAATAACAAAATTTAGTTAAACCTTAAATTAAAAGAAAAGGACAGAGGAATGGAGCTTTTTAGGGATGTAAGGCTTAAACATCCTAATTAAATTGTTATTGCTCAGAGTCTGTATTGCACAACACACATGCACAAAATTCAAAAATCTTTTGCCAATTTTTTGATGAATTAGTTCATTAAATATTTAAAATAAGGTAGATAAAGATAAATAATAGAGGCTCTGTCTTGCTTTTCTTCTCAGAAATTAACAAAGGCTTTTATGATCAAATATTTTTATTTTCTGAGTAATCTTACCTCTTACCACAAAGAGGATAAAAACTTAGAGTATATGGAGAGAATTTTAAAAATTTATTTAATCATTGTACATCTTTTCAGTTCACAACATGGTTTTTCCCAGCATGCATGAGGTATATGTCAATCAAGTCAAAGTTTTTACTGTACACATCAGTAGATAACTTTGCATTCTTGTGTCTGTTAAATGTTTTTTTTTCTTTTTACTGTTTTATACTTTAGAAATTACCTAGATTGCCTTTTGAGAGATTTTAAACAATTAAATTATTTACAAATTAAAGAAAATCTAACATGTTTAAATCCTTGCTATTCCTCAAATTTAGAACTAAGAGTCTTATGTTTGCTATTTCTTGTAATATATTGGTATGGAAGAGGATATTTTGCCTGGGTTATTGAGGAAACAACTTCAGGAAGTTTACTGACTTGTTCTAGATTTTACAACTAGTAATCTATCCATGCCCAGATTAGGAGACTGTTCTGCTCTTCTATCCTATCTCTTGGTAAGGAGCTCCCATTTAGAGTAAGAAAAGAAAGACATTTTTAAATGTTTTTGATTATTAATATTTGTTTTTTCCAGTTCCTCCAAAGATACAGCATGGTCCTAAACATTTAAAAGTCCAAGTTGGTCAAAGAGTGGATATTCCATGTAATGCCCCGGGGACACCGCTTCCTGTGATCACCTGGTATAAAGATGGCAGCCCTGTGCTAACTGATGGAGTCCAGCATCTTAGTGATCCAGATGGAACTTTAAGCATCAACCAAGCCATGCTCTCAGATGCTGGCACATATACATGTGTCGCTACCAACATAGCAGGCCGTGATGAAACAGAGATAACACTACATGTCCAAGGTGACTTTAACATGGGAAAATAAATGTACAGTACGGGTGGGGAATGGGGGGCACCTCTGAGTCTGTATTGAACATATAGTCTTGGATCATTTTAAGAAGAGTGCTATAGGAGGTTACTTTAATTCTTTTCTTTTCTTTTCTTTTTTTTTTTTTTTTTGAGAGATTTTTGCTATAAGGCACATGTACTTGACAGAGAGACTAAGAGAGAGACAGAGAGACAGAAAGTGAGAAATCACCCCCTGGGGGCGGGTGGCCATGCTGCCGTTCCTTCTCTTTCATTCTCTTCTTGGGAGTCTTGGGCATGCATGTACACATGTCCTGTGTACATGCATGCCTCCAGGTCTGGGACTTGAACCACTATCAACTATGTGGGAGTCCAACAATGTAAGCATTGGGTAATCTGGCCCATCATTGTGTCTCCAGCTTCATCACTTATCATTTATCACTCAGCCTAGAATGCAGCCAGCTGACTTTTGGTTGATTGATTCATTGACTTTTTTCCCCCCAATGTGTCCAAAGGATCATATGGCCTCCTTTTCTTATTCTATGTCTTTTTTCTGGAAGACTTTCCCCTCCCCACACCTTCCCTGCCCCTGACATAGTGCACTTCTATTCACTCTTCAAATGTCAGCTGGCCTCTCTCTACCCCAGAGGAGCTTTCCTAATTGGCCTTTCTGTTAACATCTTACATAACTTTTTTGAACATTTCATGTTGGCCCCAATCAGTGTGAAATTATGCATTTGTGAGATTACTTTGTAAATGCCTATCTTTCCCATGCTTAGAAGAGTTTAAATGCATTATAATTGGGATAGTGATATGTGTGATTTGAGATTTTGAAAGAGAACTCTTTGGGGAGAGAGTGGTTTCACTAGGGAAGGTGAGAGGAAATGGCTATAGACTATTGCATTAGCTCAAGCAAAAGATGGTAATAGTTGGACTGGAGGAAAGAAGGGAAGGGACTTAAAATGTAAGTAGGAGAATACTTATCAAGACATAGAATTAGATTGGGTCTGGGGAGTGACGGAGATGGAGGACTCAAGAAAGACTCCCAGATTTTTTCATGAAGTGAATGGATGGTGAAGTTATATGGAAATATAGGATGACATAAGAGGCTGAGGAAGGAACAGATCTGAAACTTGATCCTACAGACAGAATGAGCACAGGAAATGATTTCAATTAGAGAAAACAAGCATGAGATTTGTGTTTCAGAAAAAGTAGGCTGAGAACTGTGTAGAATATCAATCTGAAGGGGAATGTGTTTGAGATAAAGACTCCAATAAGAAGGCTCTCAAGGTAGTTCTGGTAAGAGAAACTAAGATACCAATATGTGAACATATATTGTAGCACATGTTTGATTAGTTATGGAGGTCAGGAGGAAGGGAGAAAGACACAAAAAATTAGTGGGTGGAGCATGATACTTTAAGTAAGAGAAGAATCATGGGAAGCATGAAATAAATGAATTTTATTTGGGGCATTTTGAGATTTTGGTCCCTGGGTCATATCTAGGTAGACATGTCAGACAGCTGGAAATAAGAATCGTATTTGAAAGAACCAGGAGAAAGAGCAATTCACCAATGTAGCTGGTCAAAGAAGCTTTAGGAGAGTTTGTAATTGCCCAAGGAAAGCCTGTGATAATGCACTTATTTTTCTAATAGAACCACCTACACTGGAAGATCCAGAACCTCCATATAACACTCCATTCCAAGAAAGAGTGGCCAATCAACGCATTGCATTTCCATGTCCTGTAAAAGGTATGTGACTCTGGAGATGTGGGCATTGGCATGTTGTTATATTGTTCTAGAATTCTGTATTGAACCCAAATGTCCTCTTTATGAGTCTACTTGACAGTCCGTGTTAAGATTTTTGAGCATAATAGAAACTAACCGCTC